AAATGTATACTTAAAAAATCAGTTCATTTTTCAAAAAAGGCCTAGTACTGGAGGTAATCAGTTAAGTTAGCAGAACCAATATATCAAATCAATTAGATAAAAGACAAATTTAGACCCATGATTCACATAACATTCATCTTCATAATCTTATTACAAAACACTACCACTAATATCAGCTATCATCTACTGCATTTTTACCAGTTGTTGTGATTAGTAATGTAAATACTTAAGTTCATTAAATATAATTACTCTGAAGTCAGTACAACATTGTCAATTTTATAGATAAGGGATCTGATGCTTATAGAATAACACCAGTTCACACTTACTGAGGGCTTAATATGCATAGACTCTGCCCGGTACTTCACATGCATTTTCTCATTAATCCTCAAAATAACACAATGACGTAGACGCAATCATTGACCCATCCTACAGACGAGAACACTCAATCCTAAGACGGAAAACTTAACGTATTTGCTGGAGGACACACAGCTAGTAAAATTGAGAAGTCAGGATTCAAACCAAGATCTTCCTGACTTTAGAACTATGGTCTTAACTCTTATGCTACACAATCTTTAATTTTTACTCAGTCATTGTCAAGTATTTAACAGGCATGTACTCTGTTACGTGCCAAGCACAGTGGACACAGCGATGAGCAGGAATGGTGCAGACACTGTTCTCACATCACTTACAGTGCAAGGGTGCTGTGTCAGCAGTAAAGAGCTGGCTGTGGCTGACCCAATGGGCCTGACTCCAGAGCCTGGGTTCTTAACCGCCATGCCCTGCTGCAAAAGGCACCATAATAAGATTTTTGCCTACAACATAACTCAGGAAATCTGATGTTTTGTATTTAGTTTATTTTATGTAGCCTCTTTTCATGGGTAAATACTGTTTCCTTAACAAAATTAGTCAAGGCAATCTGTAAAACTTTTAAGGCACCATAACTGGTCTACAGTCTCTCGACGCAAATAGGTTTAATCTGTGTTGTCAATGGGTAACAGTCATTGCAGACTAGGTTATTCAGACAAAATAATCTCTGTCTTCAAACTTACTTCCGCTGACAACAATCCAAATTAGTATCTCAAACATTAAAAAAAAATGCTCAATGGCACTGAAGAGCTGATCGCATAGCAAGGAATTACCAGGCCAAAACTGAAGAAAAGCTAGCACTCAGAGGTAAGCAGAGTCCTTTCCCCGAGTTCACTTTTCAATAGGGAAAATGTTAACACTGGTTTTTAGAGTTCTGAAGAAAAAAAGAGAGAGAGCTACCATAGCCCAAGGCCTGCCCAAAGTGGGAAGCCTGATCCATTTCCTCCCTTGTTTAGGTGGGGACCCAGTGGTTAAAGAGAGAAGCAGAGGTAAAAGAATTTCATAAGCATGTAACTGAGAACGCCCATTTTTCTTTTTTCTTTTTTTTTTTTTTTTGAGACCAAGTCTCGTTCTGTCACCAGGCTGGAGTGCAGTGGTATGATCTCGGCTCACTGCAACCTCCACCTCCCAGGTTCAAGCGATTCTCCTGCCTCAGCCTCCTGAGTAGCTGGGACTACAGGTGCATGTCACCACACCTGGCTAATTTTTGTATTTTTAGTAGAGATCGGTTTTCACCGTGTTGGCCAGGACGGTCTTGAACTCCTGACCTAGTGATCTGCATGCCTCAGACTCCCAAAGTGCTGGATTACAGGTGTGAGCCACCGTGCCTGGCTGAGTACCCCCATTTTTCTAAGAGATAGTTCAATTATTTTTTCTCTGTCTCTCCTTTTCTCATTTCTCCTTTTCCCCACTTTCTACTTAGTTCTTTAGAAATACAATTATAGTCTTTTACTTCCTCTTATCAGACACTCGCTACAGGGGGAGTTCATCTGACTATGTGCTTAGAAGCTCCAGGGTGGGACTATCACCCACCAGGGGGTTGCCTCTAGAGATAACAGTGGATTTACAACCCAAAGTCCTGCTATGAAACTCTCTCCCACCTTGAGAATTTTCGGCCACCTTTATAGCCTATTTCTTCCCATGAAGACGCCAATTTAACTCCCTGGTAGATAAGACACCAAATTGGCATGCAGACCCCTAACTTGTTCGCTTCCTCCCCTGCATGCCATTCCTGATAGGACCCCTTTAAAAGCATCCAACAAGGAATGTAAAGGACCTCTTCAAGGAGAACTACAAGCCACTGCTCAACGAAATAAGAGAGGACACAAACAGATGGAGAAACATTCCATGTTCATGGTTAGGAAGAATCAATATCGTGAAAATGGCCATACTGCCCAAAGTAATTTACAGATTCAATGCTATCCCCATCAAGCTACCAATGACCTTCTTCGCAGAACTGGAAAAAACCACCTTAAACTTCATATGGAACCAAAAGAGAGCCCGCATAGCCAAGTCAATTCTAAGCAAAAAGAACAAAGCGGGGGGAATCACACTACCAAATTTCAAACTATACTACAAGGCTACAGTAATCAAAACAGCATGGTACTGGTACCAAAACAGAGATATAGACCAATGGAACAGAACAGAGGTCTCGGAGGCAACACAACATATCTACAACCACCTGATCTTTGACAAACCAGACAAAAACAAGCAATGGGGAAAGGATTCCCTGTTCAATAAATGGTGTTGGGAAAGCTGGCTAGCCATGTGCAGAAAGCAGAAACTGGACCCCTTCCTGACACCTTACACTAAAATTAACTCCAGATCGATTAAAGACTTAAACATAAGACCTAACACCATAAAAACCCTAGAAGAAAATCTAGGCAAAACCATTCAGGACGTAGGTGTAGGCAAGGACTTCATGACCAAAACACCAAAAGCATTGACAACAAAAGCCAAAATAGCCAAATGGGACCTAATCA